CAGCATCCGTACTCCTTAGAAGTCTTTCTGTGCCTCCAGGTGTAAGTAGCATATTTTGAAGACTAGCTTCAAGTTCTCCTTCATCTTGCCCACGCTCCCCCTCACTTTGGTCTTCTTTCTGTGTTTACAATGTGCTAGAATTCTCCTCAAGGAGCCTGGTTGCCCAATGGTTAAGGGCGTTCAGCTGCTAACCCAAAGGTCTGCAGTTAGAATCCACCAGTCACTCTGCAGAAGAAAAGACCTGGTGATCTGCTCCCGTAAAGATTTCAGCCTAGGAAACCCTACAGGGCAGTTCTACTCTGTCCTATAAGGTTGGAATCGGCTCGACGGCACACAACAACAACAGCATGCCTCTCCTCAGGGCCTCTGCCCATGTTCTTCCCTCTGCCGGAGATGCTCTTCCCAACACCAAGCCTCTGCCAGTGCCCCCTTTCTTCTGCCCTCCCCCAGCCTCTTTTGCCAGTTATCTTTTCTGGATATGCCCTAGTTACTAGGGCTGTGTAACAAATTATTCCCCAACTTAGAGGTATGAAACAACCATTTATTAGGCTCATAGATCCTATGCATCAGGAATTCAGACAGGGCAGAGCAGGGGCAGCTTGTCTCTGCTCCACGATGTCTCGGACCTGGTTTGTCTACGGGCAGATTCATGAACATGTCTGGCCACTGCTGCTGCTGGCTGTTGGCCTGGGGCCTCAGTTCCTTAGTCTTTCCACATGGGCTGGCTTGGACTTCCTCACAGCTTGGTGGCTGTGTTCCAAGGGCGAGTGTCTCCAAGAGAGGCAGAGCCTGGTGGAAGCCGTATCAGCTTTTATGACCCAGCCTCGAAAGCTACATGGCATCACCTCTGCTACGTTCAATTCATCGAGGCAATTACACCCAGATTCCAGAGGAAGGGAAATAGACTCTCCCTCTGATGGGGAATGGCAAGGTTCTGGAAGAGCATGTGGGGCTTGCTGTGGCATTTTTGGAAAATACAATCTGCCATATATAGCTACTTCCTATTCATCCTTCACATTTCCGCTCAAAGGTCACTTTCTCCAGAAACCCTTCCTTAACCCGCTTCACCTGAAGACCAGGTCAGGTGCCCCAGTTGTGGGCTCTCAGAACCCTTGTGATGGTCAAGTGACTGCTTGTTTACCCACCAGAGTGGGACTCCATGAGGCCGGGCCCAGGTCTGTCTTGTTCACTGTTAGGTCCTGAGAACTGAGCACAGTGCCTGGAAAGGATGGATGCTTTTTGGGAGGGGCAAGTTAACCAGTAAGCAAGGTATGCGTGGTCTTAACAGTAAGCAAGGAACGCACAGGTTTAACTGTGTTTACTTACTAATATGTAGTGCACAATTCACATGGGTTTCACCACAAAAACAGGTGAAATTTTGCACTACACATTAGTAAGTAAGCACAAGTAAGCCCGTGCATATCTTGCTTATTGGGTAATCCGCCCCTGTCTTTAAGCATAATTTGCATGAAGAAAGAAGTAAGGAAGGAAGGGCTGTTGTTTCAGTTATGCCCACAGTGAGTGTATCAGCACACCCCGTCCCAAGCCTCCAGGTGGCTATCCTCATCTGCCATGTGCAAAGGTTCTACCCGAAAGGTGCACAAATCACCTGGCTGAAGAGGAACCACAGCTTCAAGACCTGTGAGGCCCTTGCCCCCACCACAAACACAGATGGCACTTTCAGCCAAGACAACCATCTCCTGGTCAAGACCTCAGAACAGGAGGACAAGAGGCCGTTTACCTGCCAGGTGTGGCACAGTGCCCAGCCACCGGTTGAGGCCAGCATGCAGCTGAGCGAGCTTAAAGACAAAGAGCAAACAAGTCTGGGTGAGTAGGGGGCAGAATAACCAAGCAGTTAAAGGCTCAGACAGGCGGGTTCAAATGCTGGCTCTGCCATGCTTGCTATGGCCTTGGAAAAGTCACTTCATCTTTCTAAAACTTGGTTTCCTCATCTATAAGGTGGGACAACAATGACAGCAACCTATTCAGAATGTTATGCCTTAGGTACCAAATAGTATTAAACGATGCTACTATCACACAGTTGAATTCGGCGATGTGCTCACTGTAACAAGCTAATATGAAACATCTTTCCCCAAGTCCCACTCACCACTCCCCTATAAGCCATTCGGATTCAACAGCTACTGAGCACCTAATAGGTACTTTGTCTGAATGCTCTTATTTGATTCAAAAAACTTTCTAAAGTAGATGTTATAATTCCCATTTTAAAGATAAGGAAACTGAAGCTCAGGGAGGTAAGGTGACTCCCTCCAAAGCCAAGGTGGAGTCTTGGTTCCTGAGTCACTGTGGGGCTGAGCTAGCCTGGGGGTCCTGTGATGGAAGCCGGAGGCCAGGCTCACCCTGATGTCTCCCAATCCTTCCCTTGCCAGGCCCCAGAGCATCCAGCTCCCTCTATGAGATGCTCCTCCTCCTTTGCTGGAAGTTGTTGCCCCTGACTATGCTTTCAGCCCTCTATGTAGTCAAGAGGACTCTCTCTTCCAGGTAAGCCAGGACCCCAGATAGGAGCTGAGCTCCCAGGGATGGGACTCCAGACCAGCAGGGGACACTGTGAGGAAAAAGCCATGGGCCCTCCCATTTCTCCTTCCTTTAACAAGTTTGAGTCCAGAGGATCCCTGAA